GTGCAGGTCTCAGGCACTGAGAACAGGTGTGTGCAGGTCTCAGGAAGGGGGACAGGTGTGTGCAGGTCTCAGGCACTGAGAACAGGTGTGTGCAGGTCTCAGGAAGGGGGACAGGTGTGTGCAGGTCTCAGGCACTGAGAACAGGTGTGTGCAGGTCTCAGGCACTGAGAACAGGTGTGTGCAGGTCTCAGGAAGGGGGACAGGGTGCAGGTCTCAGGCACTGAGAACAGGTGTGTGCAGGTCTCAGGAAGGGGGACAGGTGTGTGCAGGTCTCAGGCACTGAGAACAGGTGTGTGCAGATCTCAGGAAATGGGGCAGGTGTGTACAGGTCTCAGACACTGAGGACAAGTGTGAGCAGGTCTCTGATAGCAGAGACGGGTGTGTGCATACCAGGGTCAAAAGGGAGCTTGTCTGAGGAAGGGACTGAGGATGCTGGGTGCAGCGTTCTTTTGGCCACAGCCACAGGAGAGGGCCAGCCTCTGCTGGGGCCGAGGGCTGGGGGTGTGGAAGAGCTCCTGGGAGGTCCCGGGGCGAGAGTCAAGCCCCTGAGGTGGGCAGAGGCCCGGCCTCCCTCACCCGGGGTCAGGTGATGAGAGCTCTGGGGCTTAGGGAGTGAGTCTGCTGTGTGCCGGGGCCTCCGTGGACCTGGGAGCCCAGTCCCAGGACGAATGTGACGGGTGCGAGACTCCCACGAGCGCAGGTGGCCACCCTCCTCCTGCGGCCGCCCACCCTCCTCCTGCGGCCGCCACCCTCCTTCTGCAGCCGCGGCTGTGCAGGGACTTCGTTTCGCAGCTGGCGCTTCTGGCAGGAAGTTGTTTGTTTCCTTGATCTTTCCCTGCCCTCTTGGCTGGAGGCCTCCTGGCTCCTGTCCTCAACTCGGCCCTCAGCTCACCCTGGCTTCTCAGCCGCATCCGTGTCGCAGAAAGCCTGCCTTCGTGTGCTGCCCTCCCTCCGGCCCCACCTCGCCCTCAGCCAGTGCCTCCCGGCCGCCCCACCCCGAGCCTCTCTGAACCCGCTCCCCCAGGCTGGCGATGGGAGTGCGCTCTGCCCTTCCACCCTGGCCCCTCCTCGGCGGGGCTCTCTCCGTCCTGCTGGTGGCACCCATCCTGCGTGCTCTCCGGCTCTCCCCTCCCTCTCAGGCCCACCCACATGGTGGCCTTTTCTCTTGGCGTTCTGACCTCCCCTGGGCTCTCCCGCCATGGCCTCAGCACTCAGACCCCTGCCGACCTCAGGGGACTCCAGGCTGGAAACATCTGCCCCGGGGGCTGTGGCTGTTCCTTGTGCTGCCTACTCCTCCGGACAGGGCTCTGCCCTCCCACTCAGTGTCAGCACTGGAGACCCTGGCATCAGCCTCACACGCCCCTCTACCCACCTCTACCCACCTCTACCCCA